CAAGTGTGAAGACTAAGATAGTGCGAATTTTAGTATGATCTCGGTTTTCTCTCGTTGTATAAAAGTGGTTAGACCTCTGTTTCGCAACTTGGTTGTATTATAAGGGGCGTATAGATAAACACATCTTGTCTGGAGCCCATAGTATCCATGATAATTTCCAGCGTCGGACCATGGACTTGGTACATTCACAGATGTTTCACTGGTATCGTCAATGACCCTTTTAATTCCTAACATCACACTACAACTCGTCAATTAAACAAGTGAAATCGATCCTTTGACCAACTGTCTGCTGAACTGTTTTATTATCGCTCCTATCCTTGTACATTTACCTTTCATATATCCTCGTGTTACCGCCTAAACTGTCACAATTTCCTTCTTGGCCCGAAAACCCTTTATTTTCTGTCTTGCAGTTCAACACTGCATCAAGGTCTCTTACAAGCCTCTTTAAACCAGTACTGGGTAAAATATCCTTTTCGGTGCCGAGCCCTTTAATTTTTGGGTAAGCTGACAATGTATCGGTTAGGTTTAGACGGACAGAGCTAGTTAAATAGAAACAGAATATTTAAGCTTTATAAAATTACTAAAAAATAAACAAGACAATCGATAACAGATTTATGCCTACCTTAGTCTGTGAGTAAAGATTCTCCTCTTTTATGAGAAGCGCATTGAGTTTTTGGTAAGAAAATTGCTCGCATAAAGGACTAGGATTAATAAGCGTGAAAGGTGAAGGTGAGGTAGATGACGATGAGGAGAGAGAAGAAGAAATTGAAGCGGAGGAAGATGAGGAGGGGGTTGGAGGCGCAGTCGCCTGGCCCTCATCAGAAAGACACTGCTCAGGCGACATCGAGAGCGGTATTGATGGAGTCATTTCGGCAGCTGCAAAATCGGAAGAAAAATCATCGCAAAAAGCGGAGTTCTGGTGGGCTTGAGTATTAATCAGATTTGCTGTATGTGTCAGAGGGTGTTCGTTGATGGTGTTATCTATGATAAGTTAGGAAGAAAGATTATTCATGATGATGACTATTAATGAAAAGGATTAGACTATTTATTACATTCATGGGAAACAGTTTGGTCTATATCAGTAAAGCCCACACCACAAGTGTAATAATATCATACAAAGTTAAACTACTTTTTAATCATCCTTACATTGGAATAGCGTGTTATCTTTAAATCACTAGTAAGTTTATCCTATATCCTCGTATAACGCTTTGACTGTTATAATTTTTTTCCGTTCTTATTTTAATGTTGTGTGGTGTACCCTTTTGATCGGCTTTCATGAGAACCCTCGAAACTAGACGCTGGCGTTATCACCCCCCTTCACCCTTGTACTGGGAATGTTGATCAGAGTATCATATTGTTACGCCGTCGTCTTTCCCTAGGTCTTACCAGTGTCTCCCTCTTGCCCCGTAGGATCCATCTGTTATCTCCCTGGTATAGGTATTTCACTCAATCCCTACCAGCCTATCTTGTTTATATCCCTAATACCAAGTCTATGACTTGTTATGCCCTAGTCTCTTGTGTGCCAACCCACAAATGT